CCCTTTCTCCTTCCAGATGCTTCCGGGAAGATTGTCGTCTCTCAAGGTAGCGCGCTCACGACACCTCACCAAAAGAGAGGACTCTCAAGTTGGACTCACTTCCTCACGGTAAGAAGAGATTGAGAGAGTGGATAAGGTAAGGGAACAACGTACCTGGAGTCTCGTTACAGTAGACGAAGAGAGTCGAGGGGGGATAGACAGTAAGAGGGTGGAAGAGAATCAATGACCACGAGGAGAGTAGCCCAACATTATCCAGTTCCTCTCCGGGCTTCCCCTCGCCTCCACGTCATCAAACACTACCCACTAACAAGTCTGGCAAGTCCTGATCACATAGAAGTGTCACGTGGCACTGCTCGCCTCCATGTCATCAAACAGTACCCAGTAACAAGTCTGACAAGTCCTGATCACATAGAAGTGTCACGTGGCACTGCTCTCTCGTAAAGACAATGAAGACTATCAGCAGCGCACAACATCGACGTCAACCTCAGGTAAGTACCCTGTTCCTCAATCATCCACAGATCCCGATCTCCCTCCTTGTCATGACCAATCACCCCGTGTAGACAGCGTGGCCAGTACCACGTCAACGATGACGACAGGTGGCATGCGCCACATCCGCAATGGAGACAGGTTCAGCAATGGAGACAGGTGGCAGGCGCCACATCAGCAAGGCTGGCGCTCAGAAAGAGGGCGCCAACATGTCGCCACACTCCCGTGACGTCGTCCACAGTGCCAGCGCACAACCAGCGTCAGGGCAGCATAGCAAGACTGAATGTTGACTCCCTAGAGACCAAGCCTTATGTAATGTTTGACGAGGCTGACCAACCTCAGGTCTCCCACTCACAGTCGAGGGCCTGGATTGCGTACAGTTGCAGACTTCCACTTGGTCCCGATGCTGTCTTGGTACCTGCATACAAACAAGTGAGTGTGTCTGACCGTCGGCCTGGGCTAGGTCCATCTTGACTTCGACTGTAGGGCCTCAGGCAGTTGACCGACGTCAACTGACGGGCGCTCAGGCCCTTGGTTATTTCCAAAGGGCCTTCTGCCCCTTCATCCTCTCGGCCAGAAGTTGGGGTCGCGGCCTGTGGGCCCCTTAGTCATTCAACGAGGCATAATGAACGGGTTATTGCAGGAGGAAGAAGAACAAAGAATTGGCAAAGATGAAGACGACGATGAAGAAGATAAAGCAAGTTGAAACCAATGCCACCTCTCCCTCATCTCCGCCTGATGACTCACCTACTCACCTCCTCCATAATCTTATTAGTATTATTATTTGTTATTATGAATAGTAATAATAATAATCAACTAGCTTAGCGCCCGCGGTGCGGGCTACGCCCGCATAAAAAAACACACCAAAGATCAGTCAAAGTACTCACACAGACTCATATGGACAGAGTATAACACTGTTATGAACATGATTGTCTGTTGAAATTTTATCAACACTCACTCACCAGAACTCCCATACATGCACAAAAGGAAGGGGAGAGGTAGTGGAGGGTCACACCACCCAGGAAAGAAAACGCAGCGGAAGACTCAGAGAAGCGAAGTGACAGAATACACCATTCAGTGAATTCTCTCCACAGAGATCCCAACAATCATTCATAGAAGACAGCCGAGTGATCATAGCCAGAAATCAATGAAGAGATGACAACTCAAACATAGTATTATAATTGTTTATCAACCTCAGAGCATCGTTTTCACTATATAACCTCAGAACCCTGTTGCGCTACCCTCAGAGGGGTAGCGCCTCAACTCCACACACACCGAGCAGCTAAAAATAGCACCAGAACCCCAGGTAACACCCAGCGCCGCCCTGACATCCAACTCAGTGGCCTGCGCCAAGATGAAACACGCCCCCAGAGCCAATCGCCACCCAGATGGTGAAGAAGAAGCTCAGCGTCGACAGTCCCTGATGAAGATGAAGTCCAGACGATGATATCTCTGAGAAGATGCAGCTATGGCTGCATCGCCACTGGGACCCTACTCCTGAGGAGGGTCAGCATTGCACCACGTGCTCCAACGCATCAGACCTCTCATAGCCCAGACCGCCTTGACTCCCAGAAAGGCAGAGCGGACAGCGTTGACCCAAGTCCGGTCAGCGCTCCGAAGGTCTGGCTATGTCCGCCGTCTCCACCACCGGAATCAGCAACCACGTCCTGATACCGTGTGCGCAGCAACTTCCACCACAAAGTGTCAACTGCCCAAAAAAAAAGTCCAGGACCGATGTCCCCATCCTATCTATACTCTACTACTAGCCTAGACCGACCTAGACCGGACTGACTGACCGACCGGTACCGTTTCTGTTTCGGCCTCTAGGGCCTCTCCCTACCCGGTTATAGGCTATAGAACCGTCGATCAGCATAGGCCCATAGGGCATGTCTGTCCTAGGGGTAGCCCGGGTCTGCTATTCGCAGTTACGGTAGCTGTAGGAAACTCGAATTAGTACTGGGCCGATATTTCCTATATTTACAAATATGTGCCTCCGAATTTTCCTTACAGGCAGGTCTCTCGGTTAGCCCTCAGCCAAACGAAATTACGAATCTGTCCCTACCTATGGTACAGCCTCGTCTGAGAGAGGCTACAGGCAACCTGGAACCAGCAAGTCATTGCAACACAGGGCAAAGTAGATGGTTAGGAAGACGACCCGTTGTTCGTGGTGTTGCTAATGATCTAGAATTGGGTCAACATGTACTCAAAACAGGCTCAAAGTACCTCAAACAGTCTGGCAACAAACATACTTCAAACGATCTCATATTCAAAACTGTTTCGACTCTAACTCAAGAACAGACTCAAGATAGACACACACAAACCCAGAAGAGAGAGGGGGAGCGAGAGAGACAGAGAGAAAGGGAGGCAGAGAGAGAGAGAGAGAGAGAGAGAGAGAGAGAGAGAGAGAGAGAGAGAGAGAGAG